TGGCAGCGCCAGCCGCTCTTCTCTAACCCAGCGCCATGGTTCCGGTCCGCCCTTCCTCCCCTGAGCGCCCAGGCCCCTCCCTTTCCTCCGCCGCCGCCGCCGCCGGCCGCCGCCGCCGCCGCCGCCGCCGCCGCCGCCGCCGCCGCCGCCGCCGCCGCCGCCGCCGCCCTCTCCGCTGCCGTTGCCGCCGTTTTCTCCACCAGAAACGCACCCCCGATGGCATCACCCTCCCAAACCGCCCGCGCCTCTCCCCGCCCTCTGTGCCAGCCCAGCCCGCACCCGCCCTCCCCACACCGCCTCCCTCCCCCACACCGCAGACCTCAAGCCGGGCGACGTCGTGCGGCCGCACGAGCACCCACCCCACGTCGACCTCTCCGCTCGCAACCCGCGGTCGGCGCTGCCTCTCGGTGCGTGCTGCGCGCGCGCAGCAGTCCGCATCCGCAGCTTCCCCCGCGCTTGGCTCCCGACCCCCTCCTCCCGCACTTGCTCTAGGTCGCCGTCGCTCCGACTGGGAGGCGGAGCGCAGCGGCGGCGGAAGCGGCGGAGGAGGCGGCGGCGGCGGCTGATCCGCGCGCGTGGCGCAGGCCGGCTGCGATCCGGCACCAACGACGCCGGACCCAGAAAGCCCCTCAGAAATTTGTGTCGTAAATATTGACACGATGCAATAAATCAAGACGCTCACCTAAGCTTGCGGCCACAATCATGCTCACGCGCCAGGATTGGCAGGATGCGAGACATGGTCGAGACATGCACATGTAGCATGTGCATGCACATGTGCATGTGTGGTTTGTGGAGACGACACTCGACACTTCGGACACAAGAGTGACACTCAAAGACTAAAAGCAGCCTCCTCCGCGCCGCTTTCTGGCGCGCATGATCTGAGCAAGAGCTCAGCGTTTCGCGTCCTTGGTGGTACTTTCGCCCTGGTAGCCCGTGACGGCGAGGCGGGTGGCCTTGCGCACAGCTGGCTTGGAGCGCTGTGGAGACTTTTTGGCCACCTTGATCACTGCCGCTCGATCAAGCTGCTGCTTTGGTGCGGCCCCTTTCGTCGTGCTCCGGCCCTGGTAGCCCAGGATACTCAGCTGAGTAGCGGTGCGCACCCGCCACGCCCCGTCCTCCGCCTTTGCGCGCTGAGGGCTCTTTTTGGGCACGGCCACGACCGACGCTCTGTCCAGCGGCGGCGACCGCGGCCTAGGGTTGGGGTTAGGCTTAGCCGAGGCCGAGGACAGGGCGACCAGTAACGCTGCGAGCAGGAGGCGCATGCGCTTCAGACGCACTTGACGCACTTGTGACGCACTTTGTGGTCCCGACGCACCACAATTTCGACTTCGAAACCTCGAGAGCTGCTGCTGATGACACTGCGTCCACCCATACCGCGTTTTTTAGTTTTAGGTCTATTGTCCGCGTTGGTGTCCAGTCCGAGCCTGGCTGTTCTTCACCTTCCTACATACATACATACATGACACTCAAGCAACACGGGGTGAGAAAGGACAAACACCCGGCCCGCTGGGTGCGCTTCTGAGCTCCCCGCGGCCCTGGATGTGAGGTTACCGACTGCACTCCAAGTGCTCCAAGTGCACCCTTCTCTCCTTTCTACCATTAGAGCTCTAAGCTAAACGGACGAGACGCTTGTGGTTTTAGGCTGTATCCATGTTTCCGTCCCCATCTGCTCCCGTGTTTCTCTCTCTCCCTCGCACTCTCGGCCCTCCGTCGGCGGGTCGCCGGGACTCGGGGGGCACTCTCGGGCTCGTAATCGACGCTCGTAAAATTACGTAAGAGCTTCAGCTGAAATTCTTCTTCTTTTCTACCGAACTACATGAGCCTTGCGCCGGACGCGTGTAGCCAGTCGGCGGGCAGCGCGGCGTGCGCGGAGACGCCCCGCTCGCCGAGCGTCTGCACGTCGGTGTCGCACGCGCCGTCCTCCGAGCGGGGCGAGGTGAGGAGCACCGCGTCGGGCGAGAGCGCGAAGCGCGAGCTGCGCGGCCACCGCCGCTGCCCGAGCGCGACGTCGACCTGCATCCGGAGCGGGAAAAGCGCCGGGTCGGCAAGCAGCTCCTCCGCCGCCGCCTTTGTGAGCAGGTAGCCGAAGAGGCCGGTGAGCGAGCCGCCGCCTGACGCCTACGGTGATGTCACGAGGTGGAAGGGTCGGGTTGCCGCAATTGAAGGGGGTGTGCAGCAGCTGCAGCGAGGAGAAGGTCGCCTGTCGAGCAACGGGGAGATGTCGGGAAGATGTGGGGAGGGGTGGGGAGGTGTGGGGAGGTGTGGGGAGATGCGGGGAGGTGTGGGGAGATGCGGGGAGATGCGGGGAGAGGAAACATACACCCGAGGCCAGGGAGGAGGAGTGCGGTCTCGCGCCGCGTACTCGTGGCACGAGGTCGTCTCCCCTTCTAGGGTCACCGAGGTACGTACTCCGATACTAGGGTCACCAGCCTCGCCCCTGCGGCACGAGATCTGGGGAGATACGGGCAGATACGGGGGGGGGGGGGGGGCTTTTCGCTTCTACTGCCCGGACGCCTCCATCAGCCGCGGCTCGACGTCCCTCGGCAGCAGCTCGCCCGACGACTCGTGGTAGCCGAGGTAGCAGAGCTGCCAGCGGCCTCGACTCAGCTCTCGCAACTTGCGCAGCACGGCGCCGAGCTTGCGGTGGAAGGACGGCGCGAGCGCCTCGACGTCGTCCTCGAGGAGAAGCGCCCACTCGCTGCTTGAGCGCGCCAGTCTGCGAGGGCGGCGGTGGAGGAGGAAGCCGAGGAGACGGTGCAGGCGGCATGGGCTGAAGGAGCGTTGCCAGCGAGGGCAGTGGCGGTGGCGATGGTGGCGATGGCGGTGGTGGCGGTGGTGGCGGCGGCGATGGCGGTGGAGGCGAGGGGGGTAAGGGCGGTGAGGGACATACCTCTCCCACGCTGCGCGGTGCGAGAGCGCGCAGCCGACCGCGGCCAGCGTGAGGTGGGGGGAGAAGGAGCCGGTCTCCCGGCAGACCTGTTCACAGCTGCGGCCGTGAAGAGGAAGTGTCTCGGAAGTGTCTCGGTAGTGTCTCCCGGCAGACCGTCGGCAAGCCCTGCCGCTCCGCCCACACGGCCGCCTCGGCCGCCTTCGCCGACAGCCGCCCGCTCGCCACCAGCGCCTGAGGAGCTCCGCCCCTTGGTCTGTGAGCGAGTGGCTGACGAGCGCCGCGCCGCACCGCACAGCGCCGCCCATCTCGGCTCCTCTCGGCTATCTCTCGCCGCCCAGCTCAGCGTGCGGCCGTCCGTCGCCGCCAGCCGCTCGAGCGGCGCGCCGCCGCCCCACGGGAGGCCTCGCACCTGCGGAGCACCCACAGGCGTGAAGAGACGCCGTTCACACCGCCGCCCCCTCCCCACGGGACGCCTCGCACCCGAAGTGCTGAATACACCGACCGGGGCGGGAGGACGGTCTTGTGCAGAGTGTTCAGAGCACTGTGTGTGAGTACGAGGGGGTGCGAATACAGTGCAATACAGCCGACTGCGGTCGACCGCAGCCGAGCACGTGTCCTCTCGAGTGCTGCTTACGACACAAGAACACGGACTCCGCCTCTAGGCCTCGCGCCCGCTCGAGCCGATCGCTCCTCCGATCAAGGTTAATGACGAGGCGTAGGTCGCCGCCGCCCGCGGCCGGCTCCGCCGCCGCGGCGGTGGGCACGCGCGCGGCGCTCACGCCGTTGCCGCCGGTCGCCGCGCCGCCGCTGAGCGGACCACACAGCTGCTTCATCGGCGACGGCCCCGCGAGCGCCGGTGGCGCTGGTGGCGCTGCCGGCCGCCGCCGGACGGCGCCGCCGCCTCGCAGCGCCTCGAGCCGCTGGTGGTAGTCGCGCCGCTGCTCGAGGAGCTGGGCGGCCTCCTCGTCCTCCTCCTGCCGGCTCCGCGCCTCCACCTCGCCCAGCTCCCGCTGCGCCGCCGCAATCATCCCGCGGATCGCCGAGACCTCGCGGGAGACGGTGCGCAGCCGCTGCTCCTCTGCCGCCAGCTGCCGCTGCGCCTCGGCCGCGGCGCTCCGCTCCGCCGCCAGCGCCGCCGCGTACCGGCCGCGCTCCGCCGCCGCGTGCATCTCGCTGCGCTCCTTCTCGTGCTGCAGCTGCTTTTCACGCTTGGCGAGCTCGTGCCGCCACTGGCGGTTGTCGGTCCTCGCCGCCTCAAGCTTGCGCGCGGCCTCCTTCCGCAGCTCATCCTTGCGGCCGGCGGAGGCCCTGTCCGATTGGCTCATTGTGAGAATGGGCGTCGGTGTATATAGCCGGTGCACACCTCGCGGGGGATAGAATTTCATGGAAAGAAGAAAAACCGCTGGACCAGCGAGCGAGTTCTTTACCAGGTTGCAACCCTAGTCTCGCACTGTGCTGTGAACAGAGCACCAACCAACAGCTCAGGAGCCCCCGGTGCTGGGCACAGGCTGGGGTGCTGCCAGCAACCAACCAACCAACTCTCCGGCGAGCGGAGCGAGCCGAAGAGCTGGGGCCAAATTCGCGCTGTGAACGTCGTAGCTCACTGTACACTGAGGAGGGAGGGAGAGAGAGATTTTTGAAAACGGAGGGAGTGCGGAAGTTCCGCGCGGCTGAAGTAGGCTGCGCGGGCCTCTAGGCTCTATCTACGCCGTGCCGTGAGCAGCGTGGTCGCCTGTCATCCGCGCCGCCTGGGCAGCGCAAGGCGACTGGTTAGACATGGCATACGGTTGGCTAGCTGTGCGTCAGGGGAGCTACGCCAGGCCGCGACCAAAAAAAAGAAGTTTTTGTAAAGCGTGATACTCGTACGTTCAAAGGCAACAAGGTCACAGCGTTGCGCTCCTTCGGGCGGGGCTTTGTCATGGGCTGCGGTACGAGCAAGCCGGGCCTGACCTACGAGGAGTCTGAGGAGAAGTTGAAGCTGTGGCGCGAGCTCGGCGGCGGCGACCTGGAGCCGGTCCTCGCGAGCGGCGCCGTCGCCCTCCTCGACGCGCAGTGGATCATCAGCCACGCCGAGGGGGGGGGCGAACGCAATCACCGCCAGGCGCTGCCCAAAGAGGCCTTCCTCTCCCTTGCCGACCTCGTCGAGGTCACCGACGAGCAGACACGTCGCCGCGGCTCCCTTCCCGTCGCCGCGCTCTCCTACCCGTGGCTGACCAAGGACCACCCCGACCCGCGCGGAGCCAACCTCGCGCGCGCCGCAAGGGCGCTCAAGGCCCTGCTCACCAACTATATAACGGCTTGATCACGCGGCTCGGCGTCTTTTGGGACTTCGGCTCGCTGCACCAGCACCCCGACCCCGCCAACGGCGTCCTGCGCACCGAGGAGCAGAACGCGCTCTTCAAGCAGGGGCTGGGCTGCCTCGGCACGCTCTACTCCCACCCGCACACGACCGTGCTGCGGCTGACCTCCTTTCCGGACATGGCCAAGTACTTTGACCGCGGCTGGTGCGCCACGGAGAACGCCTGGGCGAGCCTGACCAAGGCCCGCTACCTCTCGCTCGACCTCGGCAAGATGCGCGACGGCAAGGAGTACGACCCCTGGAGCCTCATCGAGGACTGCACCCAGGACGGCGGCCGGCGCCCTCCGCTGCTGCCGTCTGTGTTCGCGGCGGAGCTGGAGACGAAGAGCTTCACCAACGGCAAGGACGACAAGCCGCTGGTGAAGCGGCTGTACGAGGCCGCCTTCGAGGAGCAGTTTGGCAAGGCGACCGGGCTGCTCTACAGCCTCGGCTGGGGAGACGCGGAGGCGGCGCAGCTGGCGGAGGTCCTCGCGAGCGGGGCAGTGCCGCGGCTCGAGTGGCTCAATCTCCGCGTCAATGAGATTGGCGACGAGGGCTGCAAGGCGCTGGCCGCCGCCCTCGGCAAGGAGGGGGCAGCGCCGCGGCTCAAGACGCTCTATCTCAACGGCAACAAGATTGGCGACGAGGGCTGCAAGGCGCTGGCCGCCGCCCTCGGCAAGGACGGGGCAGCGCCGCGGCTCGAGAAGCTCGATCTCCGCGTCAACAAGATTGGCGACGAGGGCTGCAACGCGCTGGCCGCCGCCCTCGGCAAGGAGGGGGCAGCGCCGCAGCTCAAGGAGCTCTATCTCAGCGGCAACCCGATTGGCGACGAGGGCTGCAAGGCGCTGGCTGTCGCCCTCAAGGAGGGGGCCGCCCCGAGCTTGAAGGCGCGAGACGCCCACCCATTGATTGCAACACACATGCCCCTCCCCCGCCCAATGCTCATCGCACCTCCCCTCGCGTGCAGACGCTCTACGTGGATGGTCAGCCCGCCGAGCTGGCAGCACTGTTCGAGGAGCGCGGCGCGGCAGAGTGCAAGGAGCTGGTGGCTGTGTGCGAGGAGCGCGGCATCGAGCTGCCCCTGCAGACCGAGCTGCGCTACGGCAGCCTTGGCTGGGGCGACGCGGAGGCGGCGCAGCTGGCGGAGGTCCTCGCGAGCGGGGCAGCGCCGCGGCTCGAGATGCTCAAGCTCTCTGACAACCAGATTGGCGACGAGGGCTGCAAGGCGCTGGCCGCCGCCCTCGGCAAGGACGGGGCAGCGCCGCGGCTCGAGAAGCTCGATCTCCGCGTCAACAAGATTGGCGACGAGGGCTGCAAGGCGCTGGCCGCCGCCCTCGGCAAGGAGGGGGCAGCGCCGCGGCTCGAGAAGCTCGATCTCGGCGGCAACAAGATTGGCGACGAGGGCTGCAAGGCGCTGGCTGTCGCCCTCAAGGAGGGGGCCGCCCCGAGCTTGAAGGCGCGAGACGCGCCCTCGCCACACGCCCCTCCCCCGCCCAATGCTCATCGCACCTCCCCTCGCGTGCAGATGCTCTGCGTGAACAACAAGAAGCAGCCTGAGCTGAAGGCGGTGTGCAAGAAGCGCGGCATCGAGCTCAGCTGAGCCTCCCCAGCCCCAGCCCGAGCTTGAAGGCGCGAGACGCCCCTCGCCACTGCACTCGCCCCTCCCCCGCCCAATGTTGATCGCGCCTCCCCTCACGTGCAGGTGCTCGTCGGAGCTGTGGGAGATGGAGCGCGGCATCAGGCTCCTGGGCTGAGCCTCTCAAAAGCGCCCCGCTGGGCGCGAGGGGCAGGCGGCCGGCAAGGAGGTGGCTATATACGGACCCACGGTTCCCCAGCTGCAGCTCTCTTGACTTCTAGTTCTACGTGACTTCCTTACCTCCCCGCCTTCTACTCTATGGTAATTCTTTCTGCCGACGCAGCTTGAGGTCCGCAGTTTGTAGGAGCTCTCTCACCATGAAAAGTGTACACTGCTACCCGGCGGCATGGACACTGTACGGAAATATACGTACGTGGCGGCTGGCTACGTCAGTACTTGCCGGCGCGGGTCGCTCGCTCGCCAGCCGAGCGGAGGGCCGCGCATGCCAGAGCGCCACCTCCTCACGCGACGGCGGCGAGGTGGAGCCTCCCTCGCCACCGGCGTGGCCGAGAGCCGCGCCGAGCGTGCTCTCACTGCTGCGCCTCCCACAGGGCGAGGTAGGTGCCGCCCAGCTCGAGCAGCTCCTCGTGCGTCCCCTGCTCGATGACCGCGCCCTTGCGCAGCACCGCGATCTTGTCCGCGTTCTTGATTGTCGAGAGGCGGTGTGCGATGGTGACCGTCGTCCGCTTGTGCTGCGACACGATACTGTCCAGCGCCGCCTGCACCACCCGCTCGCTCTCGTTATCCAGCGCCGACGTCGCCTCGTCAAGCAGCAGCACCGCAGGCTTGCGAACAATGGCGCGAGCAATCGCCACCCGCCCGAAAGCATGCCTCCTCCGCGGAGACCCACCTGCGTGGCGTAGCCGTCGGGGAGGCTGTCCATCACAAAGCCGTGCGCGTTCGCCGCCCGCGCCGCCTCCTCGATCTCGTCTTGCGAGGCGCCCTCCTTGCCATAGCCAATGTTCTCGGCGACGGTGCCCTCGAAGAGCACCGGCTCCTGCCCCACCAGCCCCAGCTGGGAGCGGAGCCAGCGCAGGTTGAGCGTGCGGATGTCGACGCCGTCGAGGGTGATCGCGCCGCCCTGCGGGTCGTAGAAGCGCTCGAGCAGCGCGACGAGAGTCGACTTGCCGCTGCCGGGCGGGCCGCACAGCGCCACCGTCTGCCCCGCGCCGATCGAGAGGGAGTAGCCGTGGCAGATGGTGAAGTCGGGGCGGGTGGGGTACGCAAAGACGACGTCGACAACCTCGATCGCGCCGGTGACGCTGGGGAGAGTGCCGCCCTTGTCGCTGGTAGGGTCGAGCAAGGAGGGGCGATCGACGCGCTTGAAGTAGGCGGCGGCGGCCGCGCTGGCCTTGCTGGCGTCCGTCGCCTGCGACGCCGACCCGCCGACCCGCCGACGCTCGCCGCCATCAGGAACATCACCTAGTGACGGGTTGACTGGCGGATGAGCTGGTGCGACGAGCGCTTCTGCTGAGACCGCCATCAGGGCGCGACGCCATCAGAGGAATGAAGACGGCGTCGCTTCCAGACAGGTCCAGCGACCCCGCGCACTCGTGCGGGTCAGAGGACGCCTCGGGCGCGCCGGGCAGCGCCGCGTCGCTCGTGCGGACGCGCCACATGCCGAACTCGAAGATAGCGCCTGGCCGCAGCTAGAGGTGTGAAGAGACGCTGTTCACACCTCGCATGCCCCGCACTCGAAGATGGCGCCAAAGATCATGATGATGAGCCCCTTCGCGAAGCCCGTCACGAAGGCGATCGCCCAGTTGCGACACATGGCCTGCCGCGACGCCGCGGAGATGTGAGGCCACGTCTCCTGCCGCTAGTCGCGTGGGCGCGGAAGCGAGTGCCAACCATTAAAGTCTGGTTGCCCTCTACCTTTACTACCGCCTCGCCTATGACGATCGGCTGGCGACCCGCTAGGGTCGACAGTTGAGCTAGGGAGTGTTGCGATGGCCGCCCAAATGCGAACGCAGGAGATAAGATGCTTTGCGGCGACGTACCGTGGGAAGGTTCAAGTCGGCGCTCGGTTTCATTACAAGGCTCCTTGTCACGTGGAAGTTCTACGTGCGTCCCACGGGGTCAAGGCGCAGCCGAGCTGTTGGAGAGAGACAGGGGTCTCTCTCGTTGCGCGTTTGGTCATGGCCCTCGGCGAGGCCGAGGGCGGAGTGGCTGCGGGGACTGAAGCAGAGGACATCACCGAGGTGCTCAAGTCGGAGCGGGCCGGGCGACACTTGCCGTTTGAGGAGGAGCAGATCATTGCCTCGGCCGAGCTGATGGCGGAGTACATGACTGCGGACACCGTGCGGTCGAGCCTCGGTGAAGCGGACCTCTTCGAGGCGTACGCGGACACGTTTCCCCACCGCCCGCCCTGTGATAGTTTCTTGCCCACCCACTGTTTGGTGTTCGGGTTGTCTCTGTTGTGGGGTTGGGTGCGCTCGCCCGAGGTCCTAACCAGGCCTCAGGCCAGCGCCCAGGGGTCTCAGACCTTTGGCTTTCCCCCCTATGCTACGTGGCTGGGTTCACAGCGATTGTAGGAAAATGACGGGAACACTTGACGGTCGCGGCCTTCCGACTCGCGCCTTCGCCTCACTGGCACTATTGTAGCCCTGGCCGGTGCGCGTGTGGAGTTGAAGTTCCGGAGTGAAAATTCGAACGCGTTCTCTCACGGTGACCAAAAATGTCCGCCTCAGAGGCACCTCCGGAGGCAGGCCGCCGCACGCCGGCGACACAGCTCCAGCTGTCGAACTGACCCGCAGCTCCTCTCAGAGCGGGAACTGTGACGAAAGTTGACTGAGGCGGTTGTCAGGAACCATCATACGGATCACATGGTGGCTCTCTCATGACGGGAGACCGCCCGACCACTCCTGGGTGGCACTGCCACCGGTGTCGCTCGACGTCCTGTCGACAGCGTGCCGACAGCGACACAGACCATGTGGGACGCGTCGAGTATCGACCTCTACTGCTTACCCAGTCTTCGAGTGTATCCTGCCTGTGGTCCCACACCCACTGGTGTCCGTCTCAGAGACCGCAGGAGGTCATGAGGGTCGATGGGAGTGCCAACCCCACAATGCCTAAAGACCCAGCCCAGTATTGTTGGTCGTGACGACCATTTCGATTGGTTATCGTACAAGTTGAGACAGCCTCCCCACTTCTGAGTCTCTTCCAACACCGGAGTCAGTCATCGATGGCACTTGCAAATCAGGAAGCCCGTACGCGCGGGCGCTTGCTGCCATCGAGACTATCTGGAACTGGTTCGATCTGCAGAAGGAGTGGCGCGCCCTTGACGACTACACAGCAGCCAACTGGCAGCCCGGCGACACCAAGATACGTTACCGCGAGTCCATCCGCTACGTCTCAACTTCGCAGCCTTACGCGGGGCGGTGGCTCGACACCAAACTTGACGGCAGCAACGCCACAACCATTCCAGACGACATATTCATCGGCGAACTTCAGCGCCGAAACGGTCTTCACCTCTCGCAGTGCCGCTCGACTGTCACGCGGGCACTCGAGCTTGGGGACACAGTCGGTGGTGCAAAGGACTACCATGGCGACTGGTTCCTCAACAACGCCGCCCGGCGGCGCCCACACGACGGCGTACTTCGCGCCTGGTACGATTGTGTCGCCGCCGTCTCCATCTCCCGGCCCGTTATGGGAGATGCCGAAAAACCTGAGCTCACCAAACAGTTCAACGAGGGCTACAAAACCGACCTGGCTGAGCCGGGCGAGGCTCCCGGGGGCAAAGACGAGATCAGTGAGGTCAAACTTTGGACCCCCCTGCGGGGTGGCTTGCCTGTTGGGGTCGGCCGCGCCGACACCGGAGGCAACCCCGGCTCCGTTGGAGACAAGTTCGCCTTCGGCAACACCGAAGAGCGCGCCCGCCTTGCAAACATGGGCTGCAAGCAACGCGGGTTCCGTGGTCAACGGGCGTTCGACCACACCACCGGCCAAGGCTACGTCAAGTCACAGCGTGGCCACTACCATGATGGGATCTTCGGCAAACGAAACAAGTTCAACCTGCTTCTCCACGAGACATTCGGCGGCGGCTTCTCGCCGCCTGCAGTTGCAAAGATCAACTGCCTTGCGCGCAAGGCTCAGCGCTCGGGCGTTGACCGCACCGCGTACCCTCCCCACTCCCGCCTCTCATTTGTGTCACACCACGCGGAACGCATCTCCATCGCTTCGGTGAAGGGGGTGAACCGTGCCATCCTCGATCGCCGTGCTAAGCTCGCTTCCGAGCTCTCACGCCGCGCGTAGGGCCCCTAGGGGCCTAGAGAACACAACCCCCTCTCTCTTTTCTCCCAGTAAGCTAAAAGTACGACAGTACAAGTTCGCCAAAGCCTCGACACACTCTCGGGTTTTACCGGTTTCACAAGCTGTGGACAAACCTTCTCCCATCTGATGGGGCCTCCCCGGAGCCCCCCCCGGGGTTCCCCCGGCTCCCCCGGGAGGCTCCCGGAGCTCCACTATGGCTCCTGGACGGCCCCAGATTAATTCCAGGCTGCTCCAGCGTCCAGGACGGCCCACCATAGCTTCAAGACGGCCCAGGAGGCCCCAAAGACGCCCCAAGACGGCTTCAAGAGGACCTCGAGAGGGCCCCAAGAGGCAAACATCCTCCCAACCCCTTGGGCAATCATACAGTTTTGGCATACTCGTTATTTGACTCAACCGCGTCCAAGACTGCCCGAGGCCCCCCAGATCGCCCCCAAACGGCCCAAGAGGGCCGCAAGACGGCCCAAGAGGGCCCCAAGACGGCTCAAGGGGCGCCCAGGACGGCCCAAGAGCGCCCCAAGAGGGCCCCTAAGAGAAGGAACTCGAAATGACAGTTCCAGCCGTAAGCCCAAAGACCAGTGCACACGGCCGCGCACAGGGCCGACGGCGAGGCCGTCCGGGATACGGCAGCCGGCGCTCACGACCGCGGCGCCGAGTTGTGGTCGCTCGCCGCGTGGCGAGGCCGGGCCGCCGTCGCGGCGGAGAGGGCGGCCGCGGGTGGTGAGGCCGCACGAGCAGTGGTCGTGGAGCAGCAGCGTGTGGTTCAGGCAGTCAGTCGCATTCCGACGGAGAGCCCTCGCCTCTTCCGGCTTTGCCGCTTTACTTCCTGCGCTGCACGCTGCACGCTTGCCTGGTGCTGCGCCCGCTCTTCGGTGCCGCTTCATCTCGCAAGGCCACTTCAAAGTACGATGGCAAATTGTATTTTGTTTATGCACTCCGCGACGGTGCCGTCACGTCGCCGCCCGAGGAAAAAAGCCGACGGAGAGCGAATGCGAGAGCCGCAGCGCAGCCGGCGGCGACCTGCGCACCTGCCTGCAGCTCGAGCTCGGCGAGAGGTTCCGAGAACAAAGAAAGCATGCGGTCACATCTAAGGGATGTGGTTCCACCCGTAGACTCCCTAGGGTGGGCGACGGCTAGCGCATCACACTCCTCTCCTTAAAAAATCCCTGTGTGGTGGCGGCGTGCCGTCCTCCCATCCCTCCCTTGGGTTGTCTGTTTTCTTTCTTTCTTTCTTTGGTTCCACCCGTTTTCTCATTATTCAGGCTCGCTGTATTTTCGTTGCCGTGCCGACGCCGAGTAGCAGACCCGAGGCGGCTGCTTTTTTTTATCTGTCAAACGCCTCGGCGTCTCAGCTGCGCGGCGTGCCTGTGCTCGTGTGTATCGCGCGTCTTGTGGCGTGCTGTTCTCTGCTAGTGCTCCCATGGAGGCGGACGCTGAGGTGCTTGCATGCGACCTCTGCATCGTGGGAGCCGGATGGGAAGGCGTCAACGTGCTGAACGCCGCGTCGAAGTACTTGCCCGAGTCGGCTCGCGTCGTTGTCATCGCGCGAGAGCGCACATGGGGTGGGCAGTGGGTAGACCAGTACGACTTTGTGAGGCTGCACGGGCCGCACCTGGCGTACGGGATCGGTGAGCGGCCATGGCTCTCGCTCGCTCCGCAGCAAAAGGCTTTTCCGTACCAGGCGAGCAAACGGGAGATTCTCCAGTATTTTGAGGAGACAATGGAAGCGTGCGTCACAGAGCGCAGCCTCGACGTCGTCAAGCTGTTTGAGCACCACTTTGATGGGCACAGCACAAATGACGGGAAAGTCGAAATCAGCGTGCACCGGATGGCGCAGCCGAGCGCGAAACTCCGCGTGGTGGCGTCTCGGCTGATCAAGGCGTTGGGCGCCGACACGCCGATTAAGTCGCCCTTTCCCGTGCCGGGTGGCCTGTCTGTCCACTCCCTCTGCCCTGGCGATGTTGGCAGCCCGAGCTGTATCGCTAAGATGCGCTTTGGAGAGTTCAGAGCTGCGCCAATCTTTGTGGTGGGCAGCGGAAAGACTGCGATGGATGTCATCCTGCGCCTCTCTCGCGAGCTGCCCGGCGCGAGTCATCGCATCCACTGCATCGCAGGTCGGGGCACGTACTTTGCGAGCCGGGAGGTTCTCTTCCCAGCCCAGGCTCCGTCCGATCCGGACGCGGCCGACGGCATCGACCTGATGATTGAGATGTTCGACATCTTCGACGGCACCAATGGCCTGGAGGTGCTAAACCACGTGGCTTCCAAAGGGCTCCTGCGCTCTCCGATTCCGGACGCGGCCTCCTTTGTCAACGGCACCGCATCTGCGCAGGAGGTGGCAGAGATGGCAGCCGCGCTCAGCCCCTCGGACCAAAAAGTGACAAAGGCGCACCTGCTGTGCATCCAGCAGGACGCGGGCCAGCCGTCCCTGTTGATGCGGCATCTCGACGGCTCCACCGCGCGGAAGCAGTTGCCGCCGGGGACATTTGTGATCAACTGCACCGACAACTTTCGATGGCAGCCCGCCGAGCCTGTGATCAGCGACGGCGGTCTGGTGATGAGCCCGCAGCTCATTGCCGGCACAGCGGGCCCGTCGGGCAACATCGCCACACACCTCTACTTCCAGGGTAAGCTGGAGGATCTGTGGCGGGGCGTCCCCAGGCGTAACTACGACGCGAGAGACAAGGCGAACACAGGCTGCCAGTACCTGATGACTGCCGTCCTCAACAACGCGCTGATGGCGAGCAAGCTTCCGGAAGAGGTACGTATCTCGTCGACACCCCCTTCGATATTCTCGCCCGGGTCGCCCTCCCTTCTACGGCTGAAGGAGGCCATGCCGCGCCTCATGGAGAAGCTGCACCGCGTCGTCAAGGGCCGGTATACCGACACGCAGGAGCTCGTGGTGCCGCCCCACCTTGGCGGCTGGAGCGCTGACACGCCGTGATGAGCACGTTGATGTGATGCGCGTTTACGGCGCGCCACGTACGCTGGCGTGACGTGTTTACGCACTATGGCTCGCCACGAGACATCCTATATACGTATTGTGGGGCACGGTCCGCGTGAAGGGGGTGCCGAATAAACAGGATGGCCCTGCGCGGGGCCGTGAGGAACGCGGAGGGGACGGGGCGGAGAGGGGGGGCGCGTCGCGGGGCGGAAATAAAGTGGTCGGGGCAGAGGGGCCACTGGGCAGGCGAGCCCCAGCCAACCCCGTCAGCCTCCCCTCGCCCGCCACCGACCCTAAAGCCGCATCCGTCGCTAACCCTCGCCGTGCCCCCCGAGTTCGTGTTCGAGCGATATGGTCCGAGTACGTGCCGAGCGAGCAGGCGAGGGAGATCGGAGACGATCTCGGGGAGCGCGATGCGTACTTGCCCTCGATGTCGACCCTCCCCCACCACCACTCTCCCCGGACGACGCCGCTCTCGCACCTGCTATGGTCTCTCTCTCGATACACAACACGCTCGCCGACTTGGCAACAAGGGTTGACTCCATCGCGCTAAGCAACGAACCTGCCCCCGCCCCTCGGGGCGGGGGCCCCCGCCCCCCCGGGGGGCCCTTTGGGGCCCCTCCAGGGGGCGACCCCTCCGGGGAGGCCGGCTTTCCCCGTGCCGGTTCTCCCCAACCAACCCCGCCGGCAGCGCGAGCTGCCGGCCATATTGAGCGGTTCAACCGCGTCGCGCACTCGTCCCAACCGGGGGCCGCAGACTTGTTCTGCGCGCCAACGGCTGGTGACGCTGCGTTGCCCTTGAGCTAGTCCTTCCCGGGGTCGCCTAGCCTCTGCGCTGTCTGGCGAACGCCTGTATGCCATGCACGCGGACCACGCTTGCGTGGATACGTGGCTGGCAGACTGACCCGTGTGCGGGGTAACCCGCGCACGGGGACGCTTCACGGGTTCGAGTCGTCAAACATTAAGCAGCGGAGGTATGCCGAGGGGGACCGGGAGGCGGTAAGCCGTCGTTGCCCGGCGCTGCTTGCAGCACCATGGCGATGACGCTAAGAGGTTCCTCTTTTCCGCGCCCCCCCCGCAAGGCGCGCGATACAAACCACGTACCCCACGCCAACAAGCATGATCCAGAGAACGGGGCATTGTACTACATATAGTGCGGGACCTGTGGCAGCAACCAACGACCTGGATGGGGACGGGGTGCTGCGCAACCGACGCCAACCAGCAGCGTTCACAGCACAGTGCGAGACTAGGGTTGCAACCTGGCTCTTTTATACGTGAGTGATTATTCTTGATACGAAACCACGACGACACACACCAGTCGACTCGCATCGGTTGCCTCCATGAACGGCGGAGCTATTCTCGCGTCCACACCACACCAGGCTCCAACGTGGACACGCCCATAGCTGGGGACACTACTAGGTCACGCATGGCATCAGAAGTTTTATCTCTGGGCCCCGAAAGGCATCTCTAGCAGCGTCGTTACGCATGCGCCCTCCCCTCCTGGGCGCATACGCCTCACGTCTCGACAGAGCATAAGCCCTTGGTGTGCGGCGAGACGAGTTTTTCGCCATCGCCGCGAGCAGCAAGCCGCCCGCCGCAACAGCCGGAGGCATCGCCGCAGCACCAGCCGCGCCGCGGTCCCGCACCCGTCGACGAAGCTCCCCCCGCGGAAGACCGCGCGTAGCGACGCCTTGACGATCGAGATGAGCGCGCTCGAGGCTCGCCCACCTACTGCCCCTGAGAGTTACACACACACCACACACACGCTCTTCTATACCTGAAAAAAGAATTTAAACAAGACAACTCTCTCTCACAGCACACAGGCTCGACACAGGTGCGAACTGGCGCGTGCTAGTACTATCACCGGCACACTGAAAAAAGAAAATAAACAACCCGCTGGCCGGCCTCCTCCGACGCCCGCGCACCTCGACGATCGCGGGAGGACAGATCGCGTCGCGGAGCCAATGCCAGACCTCGACGATCTGTCGGCGTTCCGCGATCTGGCGGTGCAGGTGGCGCGCGCGGCGGGACGGATGATCCGCGAGGCGCACGCGCAGCGCGCGGGAGGCGGCGACGGCGGCGAGCTCAGCGTGGCTGTCGAGAGCAAGGGGAGCGAGCAGGGAGCGCCGGCAGCAGAGGCATCGGTCGACCTCGTGACGGCCACCGACAAGGCCTGCGAGGAGCTCATCATCGGCACGATCCGCGAGCGCTTCCCCAAACACTGCTTCATCGGTGAGGAGTCGACCTTCGCCGGCGGAGGCGCCGCCGATGCGCCGCTCGAGCTTGGCGAGCAGCCGACGTGGATTATTGATCCCCTCGACGGGACGACCAACTTTGTGCATGGCTACTGGCCCGTCACAGTGTCGATAGGGCTCGCCGTCCGAGGCGAACTCGTGCTCGGTGTCATCTTCAACCCGCTGCTCGATGAGATGTGCGTGGCGACAAAGGGTGGCGGCGCAACGCTCAACGGCCGCCCCATACGAGTCGGCGGCGCGGCGGGTGTCGGCGAGGCGCTCGTCGTCAACAACCTGGGAGCGTCGCGCAACCCGGCGATGAACACGCTCGCCACGGCCCGGATCGGCGCGCTTCTGCAAGCCAGCCTGCGCGGGCTGCGCAACTCTGGGTCCGCGGCGCAAAACATGATCGACGTCGCCGCGGGCCGGCTGGACGCCTACTTTGAGGACGGGTTTGGAGGCCCGTGGGACGTGGCGGCGGGCTATGTCATCGTGCACGAGGCGGGCGGCGTCTTCCGAGACCACCTCGGCGGCCCTTTCACGCTGCGTGCAGGCAAGGGGCAGGTGCTGTGTGGCAACGCGGCGGTGGTGGAGGACATTGCGCGCGTGTTGCGGAGCGTCGAGCCGGGAGGGGGGCAGGCTCGGGGCTAGGACACGCGGGTGTAGGCACATCCACGCTGCGCAGCGGCTTCCCCGCGACCACAGCCCACCTCTCGCTCGCAGCGGGGCCGCACAGCCGTAGCCGCGCAGCCCCAACTCTCGCCGCAGTGACAGGGTATCTTGTGCAAACACGCCATGTGCTAAAATGCTATCAATGCGAGCTGCGTCAAGCTCGAAGCTGTGTATGCAGACGCGCTTGCACCATCAACAGGCATCAGGCACCACCGCGCACCGGTGCTGTCACGACTCACGTGTCGCTGCCAGCCGTCGAGCCGATAAATTCAGGCTCGTTTTTGTTTTCGCCACCAACAAACTTAAGAAACGAACAGACTCTCGAAGCGAAACGATCGATCGCATGGCGACGCCAAGCCGAATCATGTAACCGCAATCTCACAAGCAAAAGCGTCGCAAAATTGCGAAGAAGCGAATCTCTCTCTGATGTGTGATCTCTGATGCGCAATTCGGATCCACCCGTGATACGTGGCTCGGACCCACAGATTCTAGATTCCTTTAGATTCCCTGGATTCCCGCAACAACGATCTCTTAGCGGCGGCAAACAGAGGCGCAACTCTGCCAGCAGCGAGGAGGCTCCTGCTGCTCAGCTACCGAGGCCTGGTGGCGTCGGCTGCTGCGTGGAGAAGACAGCAGCACTGCCCGACCTCAAACAAAAAAAACATGCACAACAAGCGGGATCATTTGTGACTCTGTCCTCGATTCCATGTAGAGAGAGGCGAGGCAGAGGTGTGGGCGCGGCCCGAATGCGCAAGGCGCGAGTGCTGTTTTCCCTCTCTCCTTACCGCACTGCTCCCGAGCGCGACGAAGTGCTGTGCATGGCCTGAGTCTGTTGAGACGACACCGAGCGCCGCCGATCGGAATCTGGCTGCAATCAAATCAAAGGTAGTAAAGAAGCACTTTGCCAAGGCAACCGAGGAAACCGAGATGCAACTGGACTGCAGCAACCTCGGCTGGGGCGACGCGGAGGCGGCGCAGCTGGCGGAAATCCTCGCGAGCGGGGCAGCGCCGCGGCTCGAGATGCTCAAGCTCTCTGACAACGAGATTAGCGACGAGGGCTGCAAGGCGCTGGCCGCCGCCCTCGGCAAAAAGGGGGCAGCGCCGCGGCTCAAGTGGCTCTGGCTCGACGGCAACGAGATTGGCGACGAGGGCTGCAAGGCGCTGGCCGCCGAAATCAAGGAGTGGGCAGCGCCGCGGCTCGAGTCGCTCACTCTCTACCGCAACCAGATCGGCGACGAGGGCTGCAAGGCGCTGGCTGAGCTGGAGGTCGTGTGCGAGGAGCGCGGCATCAGCCTTGAACTGCGCCCCCCGGATTGGGAGAAGGATATCGCTGATATTATTGCTGCAGCTTTAGGGGGGGAGGTGGTGATTTTTGAATGAACGCCTCGCGCAAAACCACCGCTACCATGCCACAGAAGACCCTTGTGGGCTATCCAGAACACCTAAGATCATGCCCTACTCTAAAGTGGGCCCGAGATACGCCAGCTAAAGCCCGGATTTTTTCCAGCAGCGGGCCACACATGGCGGCTACCCAAGCGGGTCGCACGGAGACACGGGAAGGCTGCCGCAAGCCGCCTCCGGGTGCAGGGGCCCGGCGCGATGGGCGGGGGCAACGGCCCGGTAGCTGGCCGCTCCTCTCCCCCCCGCCCGTCGAGCGCTGCCGGCGCGAGCTCCGGCGGCGGCGCGGGAAGGGAGAGGGCGGAGGGCGGCGGCGGCGGTGCGGCGGACGTCACTGGCGTGGCGAATGGCGGCAGAGGCCCGTGCGCGAGCGGCGGCGGCGGCGGCGGCGGCGGCGGCGGCGGTGGCGGAGGGGGAGCGGGCGGCGGCGGCGGCGTCGCTTCCCTTCCCTGGGGCGGCGAGGGCGGCGGCTGCGAGGGTGGCACCTCGCGGAAAAGCATCCACGCGCTCGCGGCGGCACTCGGCAGCAGCACGGCCGCCGTAGCGAGGTGGGCGCACATCCCGGGATCGTCGTCTGGCTTGCCGCCGAATCGTGCCTACTTCCGCCCCGACTGCATCTCCGACGACCAGGTACCAGCTGCGCGTCGGGCGCGGACCAGGTCCTGACCAACTCTGGGTACGCCACCGGCACCGCCTTCCAGGCGCACTTCGCGCCGATCGTGCTCGAGCTGACGGCGACCGACGGTGCGACGGGCGTGTCGGTGCCGGTGGCCGGGAAGCAGGTGGTGTACGTGGTGGCGGGCGGGCGTATGGCGTGCCAGCTGTCGAACATGGGGAAGGCGATCCTTGACCAGACGGGAGCGACGGGCGGGTGACGGTCGACGGGAACGTGCGCTACCGCCCGGCGGCGGTGCGTTCGTCGGTGTACTGCTACTACGAGAGCGGGCGGGCGACGTTCCGCGCGTCGGTGGGCGACCTCGGGGTGCAGGCGTCGACGACGCTGACGTCGGTGGCGCCGGCGGGCGCGGGGTCGGTCGAAGGCGGTGCGGAGGTGGTCGCGGTGTCGCCGGTGGGTCCGATCGAAGGCACGCTGGTGTTCAGCTCGACATACGGGCGGTTCCGATGGCGGCTGCCGGCGCTGTCGGTGGGCGTGCGGAGCGCGGCGACAGGGGCGTCGGTGGGCGGTGCGGTGGTGGAGTGGGTGGTGGATGACGCGGCGGGTCTGAGCGTGCAGGTGGGTACGGGGAAGAGCGTGTCGGACGCGGGGGGCGTGGCGTCGCTGTCGGACTGCGGTGGCGGTCACCCGTGCTGGGTGTCGACAACGTCGACGGCGCCGATCGCGGGTGCGGTGGTGCGGCTGACGGCGCGATACGGCGGGGGGAGCGCGAGCTTCAACGTGACCATCCGCTCGCACGGTGCATGATGCGTAAAGGGCCAGGCGGTGTCACTGACGTCATCTGCCCTGTCCTCCATGCCCTGGCCGTCCCGTCGACCGCCACTATGCCACGTCCATTAGCTCGTGCGCGCGTGCGCCTCCATGCTCTGTTTGCTCCTCTGGCCGTCCCGTCGACCGCCACTATGCCACGTCCATTAGCTCGTGCGCGCGTGCGCCTCCATGCTCTGTTTGCTCTGGCCGTCCCGTCGACCGCCACTATGCCACGTCCATTAGCTCGTGCGCGCATGCGCCTCCATGCTCTGTTTTGCTCTGACAGACCGTCCACAGACCCCCCCCCCCCCTAGCAGCAGAGCTCTGCTGCTGGGGGGGTCAGACCCCCCCCCTAGCAGCAGGGATGACTTTAGATGTGCAGGGGGGGTACCGAGCAGTGTGCGGCCGCTCTCGCCGCCGCCCGGAATACATGGTAAAAAGCGCACCCTGCGCGCAGCGCGGCGGCGCGCGCCAAACCACACCGAGACTGACACAGGAGCCACTCCGCAAACCCTCCTGGATGTAAATCGCACTGGGCGGACGGTGGGAGGACGGAGGGCGGACAAGAGAACCGCACGCCATCGTCGTCTCTGGGCCCGCAGACGGCATCCAAGAACGTTCCCAAGCACACGGCCACGTAGGGGTGCACGGTACGGGGAGGGAGGGGGAGCAGCGGGGCGAGAGGAGCTGCCCAGAGAGGAGAGCGAGGCGGCCGCGAGGCCTGCGAGGACCGTTGCGAGGGCCAGCCCTCGGCTCGGCGTGTCCGGAGGGGTGGGGGCCTAGGTGCTCCGGCTGCCCTGGCCTTCTGTCTGCCCGCCCAATGGGTGGCAGGTGCCTCTGCTGCTGTGGCATGCCTCACGGCTGCGACTGGCCGGCGCCTCGGCGCGTCAAGCTCGGCTCGGCGTAGCGATAGCGGCCAGCGCAACTCGCCTGGACTCAACGCTCAGCCAGGAGCTCCCGCACGCGCTGGCGCGAGTCATGGCGCATGCAGCGCGCAGAAATGCTCGCCTTGCCTCGCGCAAATGCGACCGCTTCGCAGCCGACAGTCCACCGACGCATGGCAGGCGAGCTTGAGGGAAGAGGTCGAGCCGCACTAATGGAGTGTCTCCGAGCTTGCTGGAGCTCTGATGGACGGCCCTGACTATCCCTGACACACAGAGAGTCACTCTGACGGCACACAACACCCTATAACTGCGTCATGACCAGCCTGCCATGCGTCGCCGGTGCCGCATTCGTCGCTGTGCTTCTTTAGTCGTCAACGTGCGTCATGCGTGGTGATCGAGCTTGAGGGAGGAGCTCCGCTAACGATTCGGCCGGCAACCCAACGCCGCCGCCCATACCCGCCACTTACAAAGCGCTTGCTTTACGGCCGGTACCACCCACTCCACTTTCCACTGATCATGCCGGTGATAGCCCCCCCTCGCTGAGTGAGTGAGGAGCAGGAGAGAGAGAGAGAGAGAGAGATGCGAGCTTTTTGTGGTGTTGGTGTACGGAGCGGCCGCACACTGCTGGGTACCCCCCCTGCACATCTAAAGCCATGGCGGACCCCCCCCCCCCCCCCGGCAATGTTGACCATTTCATGTGCCACATCACTGCATGAAATGCCGCGCATGTGATTGTGAACTGTGCGATACTGTATTTTCGACCCCGACCGAGACACGTGTGCGTGGCTGGGTTCACAGCGATACTCGTAGTAGGAAATTTGGGGGAACACTTGACGGTCGCGGCCTTTCGACTCGCGCCTTCGCCTCACTGGCACTATTGTAGCCCTGGCCGGTGCGCGTGCGAAGTTGAAGTTCCGGAGTGAAAATTCGAACGCGTTCTCTCACGGTGACCAAAAAATGTCCGCCTCAGAGGCACCTCCGGAGGCAGGCCGCCGCACGCCGGCGACACAGCTCCAGCTGTCGAACTGACCCGCAGCTCCTCTCAGAGCGGGAACTGTGACGAAAGTTGACTGAGGCGGTTGTCAGGAATCATCATACGGATCACATGGTGGCTCTCTCATGACGGGAGACCGCCCGACCACTCCTGGGTGGCACTGCCACCGGTGTCGCTCGACGTCCTGTCGACAGCGTGCCGACAGCGACACAGACCATGTGGGACGCGTCGAGTATCGACCTCTACTGCTTACCCAGCCTTCGGTTGTATCCTGGCTGTGGTCCCACACCCACTGGTGTCCATCTCAGAGACCGCAGGAGGTCATGAGGGTCGATGGGAGTGCCAACCCCACAATGCCCCTACTCTACTACACAGTACGCGCGCATCGTCCCTTCCGATGACTACACTTGCCAGCGCAGAATTGTGATCGAGACACATCGCCTCCGCCCTCACCGCACACCGGGCTCATCGGCTCGACGTGGGCGGGGACATTGACGAGCTTGTGTTCCGACCCAACCCTGAGCTTCTCTAGAGCGCAGCCGCTCCGGACGAGGAGTGATTACACGGGGGGAGAGGGCGCTTGTGTCTCTAGTATTTCGAGAGACTAATTTATTCACAGCTGCGGCGAGCGTGTGCGGTGTGACCCACGAGAACGCCAACCTGACCGACCCCCCCCCCCATCGGTCTGCGCTCCGACCGACCGGCCCCCCCCTCCGGTCTGCGGTCTTCCGCGGCCGTCGACCGGACCCCCCCTGCGGTCGGTCGGTCTGCGCTGGGCGCTCAAACCACGAAGTCGGCCTGTTCACTACAAGATGACGCTAGTATTATACTGCGCGGCTTTCCGCTTCTTCTCCGCCTCCCCGAACGTGCCCGTCGTTTGACAATGTTGGCCGCTCTTGCCGTCGCCGCCATGACGGCGCCCGCACCCTCCGACTTGCGCGAGGCAGCGCCGACGAGCATCGCTCCGAAGGCGCGCGAGCCCACCTTCGCCCCTCTCGCGCCATGTGGCGCCGGCTTCGTCCCGACGTGCGAGCAAGCGAAAGGCTTTGGTCTCTGCGACTCGGCCAACGCAGCGTGCGACGAGGCGTGCGTCGAAGAAGTGAAGATGGCCTGTCCCGTGACGTGCAGCCTCCTGGCGGAGGCGACGTCCGGGCACCTGGCCCCGGACGCCGCCCCTTCCGACTACGGCGACCACTTGCCGCCGGCCGCCACGGCGGCCATCTGCAGCACCTGCGCAGATCACCCCGACCTGCCCTGCTGCCACAACCATCCGCACGAGGGCAATGGCCGCCGCCGCCTGGCGCAATCGTGCGCCGACACAATCAATGACGCGCCCGCCGGCGGGGTGTGCGGGGGAAGCAGCCAGCTCCCTTCGTGGCACCCTGGCGCGCACTTCCAGCTCGAGACCACTCTGGCAGAGGCGCGTCGGCAGGGGTGTCACACGGTGACGGGCGATTTGATTGCCGGCGGAGCCAGCGGAGACATCAACCTGCCCAGCCTGTTTAACGTGCTCGGACGCATCAGGGTGCGCGCCCCTTCCCTCTCCCGCCCCTCCGCACTGCCTTCCCTCGCGCACCGCCCTACACCGCACCGCTGCCCAGCCCCGCGCCCTCGCCACCGCGACAGGTGGGGCGCAACGACAACCTCACCTCTCTGACGATGCCCAACCTGATGTACGTGGGCAGAGGCATCGACGTACGCGCCTCTCCCCCTCCCGCCCCCTCCGCACTGCCTCCCCCTCCCCGCACCGCCGTACACCGCACCGCTGCCCAGCCCCGCTCTCTCGCCACCGCGACAGGTGAGGTGGAACGACAACCTCACCTCGCTGACGATAAACAAACTAGAGGCCGTGAGCGGCGGAGACATCTGCGACACCTGCGGAGACATCTCGGTGCGCGCCTCTCCCCCCCTCCCGCCCCTCCGCACTGGCCCTCCCCTCCCCGCACCGTCCTGCGCCGCACCGCTGCCCAGCCCTGCGCCCTCGCCGCCGCGACAGGTGTACAAGAACGACAAGCTCGCCTCGCTGGCGATGAACAACCTGCAGGGCGTGGTCGGACGCATCGACGTGCGCGCCTCTCCCCCTCCCGCCTCTCCGCACACTAGCCCCTCCTGCACACCCCCACACCGCACCGCTGCCCAGCCCCGCGCCCTCGCCGCCGCGAAAGGTGGGCAGCAACGACATCCTCGCCTCTCTGACGATGAACAACCTGAAGGAAGTGGCCAGAGGCATCTACGTGCGCGCCTCTCCCCCTCTCCCGCCCCTCCGCACTGGCCCTCCCCTCCTCGCACCGCACCCCACCGCACCCCTGTCCAGCCCCGCTCCCTCACCACCGCGACAGGTGCGGAACAACGACAACCTCGCCTCTCTGACGATGAACAACCTGGTGCGTGTGGGCGGATATTACATCTACGTGCGCGCCTCTCCCCCTCTCCCGCCCCTGCGCACTGGCCCTCCCCTCCTCGCACCGCACCGCTGCCCAGCCCTGCGCCCTCGCCACCGCGACAGGTGACGAACAACCCCAACCTCGTCTCTCTGACGATGCCCAAGCTGGAGGACATGGGCGGACAAAT